TTTTATTTTTAGTAATAAAACAGATTAATATGGACTAATGGGTGAATGGAACTACAAAAATAAAATAAAATATATATTAAATTTTCTTTTAAAATAGATGTGGCTATTGGGATCTTTCCTCGCTTTTTCTGGTGAGGAAAATCTATTCAGCATTATGGCATCAACCTTTCTTATTTATAACTTTTTTTTCTTCTTGGAAAAATAAGGGAAAGGGAACCCCTAGGTGAGTAGCTGCCGACCTGCAATTATTACATCATATCTATCCATATAAAGTTAGATTTAATCAAATATTTTGAAATTCAAGGTATAAGTAACCATGATTGCGCGTTATTCATGTACAAATTAATTAAAAATAACTTTAAACACAATTTTATCCTAATTGGAGTCTTCTATAGTTTTTGTATTGTTTGTGATTTATGATTTCTTTTTTTTCTTGGAAAAATGGCAAACCATTATAAATTATTAGAAAAAGGCTACGCATATAATGAGGTTTCTTCATGCGATTCATTTTTAATTAGGGTGGTTTATTTGGGTTTGGTGTCGTTATATTTGTGTTTGGTTATTAAAGTATTAGAAAAACTATAATCGTTCGTTTTTTATTGGTAAAAATATTCAATTTCATTAATAAAAATATATGATTTTTTATATTTTCTATTCAGTTTGGTTAGAATTCAGATCTGATTTATTATTTTAGGGAAATCATAGTCATTTGTTTCTATGTCTAACTCGATTATGGGTATATATTATTCGATTTCAATCGATTCGGTTATTAACTAAATAAGTTACCCCTATATTTTTAATGCAATCCAAAAAAAAATATTTTTGATAGAACATAAATATAAAGAAACAAATGAAAAATTCTTGACATGTTTACTTACTATCATAAGAAGACCTTGGTTTGGGATTACATGATAATTAATCGACATTGGATTTGAATCCTATAATACGATGATACTTTTCTAAATCATGCTCCTAATTGAAAATTTAAACTTTTCATTAATAGATATGAATTTATTTCCATCTATATATATGACTAAATAAAATTCCGAATTTTTATAACTATTTTTTTATATTATTTTACAGTATTTGTATCTATTGGTTTCTTATATGACAACGAATAACGAAATCAATAGTGATTTTTATTTAGGTTACGAATGTTTTTGTTCCATGTGAGATAATTGGACGCACGAACAAAAAGTGACTCGTGAACTTTCATATATTTTTCGTCATCATTTTCTTCAAGCATGCGTTGGTCTTTTCCCAACCCCTTTGTTTGCGAATATTTCTGTTTTTCAGATACAAGCCTTTTTTCACAAAGGTTAATAAAAACTTTTAAAAGTATATATATATATATATATATATATATATATGTGTGTGTGTGTGTGTTTGATTTACTTACAACTAAATGAATTTGTTAAAAAATTGAATTTCATATATATAGAATTACTATGGTTTCGTTAATAATTCAATATATTTTAACGTTACTATAGTTATAACTTACTGACATCTGATGATATTTTTAAAATTTATATATTTACGTGAAAATTTAAAATTTGATTTATTTATATAAATAAATATTTATTTGAGAATTTATGGCAATTTGGTATATTTTTTATGACATGATTTTAAAATTATTTTTTATTGATATTATTGTTTAGATCCTCTTCTATATATAATATTTATTTAAAAAAATTAGTATATGCCCTAGACCAAAATCTAAATTGCAAGAAAATTTTCTATATGCGTGAAAAAAAATGTTTTTATTCCTGCAAGTAACAATTTCGAACACATGGGCGGCTAAAATGAATGTTGTTTTTATAATATTCAAACAATTTACAAGAATCTTGTGTAATTTTTATAATTACAAACCATATGCTTTTCATATGGCCATATTCGAGGGAAATGATACCCCATTGGCAATAATTTAAAGAAAATATTACGAGGCTAAAAACAATGAAGGAATCGATCCTTCAAACACAAAGAATCTGTATATTAATTTCATGAATTTATAATAAACAATTAAACATCATTTATGTCTATTCTTTTGTATGGAAATTATATGCATATTAATTACTATATAAACCGATGATACTGCTAATTAATCTATATTCTTAAACACGAATTATTAATTGATAACAAAGTATTGAATATTTTGAATACTGTCCATTGTGGTAACTGCATTTGATCTCTAATTAAGAAAGCAATCGTTATTCATTAAAGAAAAAGCAATATGTTCAAATTTAATTGATTTTTCACATCTAACTTTTTTTTTTATAACAAATAACTAATAGTAATAAAACGGAATGTTATATTGTTCCAATTATTACAACTCATATAATAATTATCGGGTCGGGGTAATTTGGACCACAATCTATGGCATTCCAATAAATGAATCACGTTGCAATTTTCCAGATAGACACGGACTCTATTTTCAAAGACAAAAAAAAAACTGATATATAATTTGATTCGATATCATAAATTTTGAAATAATTCTCCTTTGGAATTTCATTCTTTCGAAAATATTAAATTACATATTCGCATAGCAGAAGTGTGATCTTGTATGAATATACAACTATATAAGAAAAATTTGGACGTATATAAATTAATGACATGAAATTTTCGGCTGGTCCTCTATGATATATAATATGATTTGTCCTACGTGTAATAAGCTCTCAGCCACTCATAATCGAATTGACTAAAACGCGGATTCCAATTTCATAATGCACCAATTGCCCACGTCCCTTTTGGAATCAAAACATCGTCATTACAATTAATTTGTATTTATTAAAACACGGTGCATGCAATGCCCATCTATCACGTAATTATATATTGGATTTTTTTTTTTGATGAAATATATATTGGATATTTGAATCTGGCCGCCAGCCTGTCGGACCGATTGGAATATATGCATTTATATTTTATTTATATGTGCGCATCTCTATCTTAACATTTATGTATGTATACTAGGATATATACATATATATATATATATATATATATATGACATAGACACGTGTATATGCACGTATAGCGTATCCAAACCGGATATGTTAAATTAGTATCAAGAGGGTATATGGCTGCTTGCTTCATGGGAAATTAGGATTGCCTCTATGTTAAATTAAACGTAGAGAAATATATTTAATAATTTTATTCTTGACACAATTGTATCGTATTATAATTCCACAAGTTCTCCAATTTATTTAGAATTATAAATATTATTAAATTAATAGACATATGGTGCATAAAAATGAGATGCATGAACCAGCCGAGAGCGCATATGCCAACGGAGGCATGCATACGTAGACACTGCACACATACGCCCCCCCGATATAAGAAATATTAATCGGATAAACTCTAATATTTATCATTTACAAGTAACAGCACCTATTTAAATGTATGGTGTAATGTTTTATGGGATTATAATAATTTGGGATAAAATAAAATAAAATGTTAAAAATCAGTTTATATTTTATTAATATTTTAATTTGATTAAGCATATAGAAATTTTATTCGAGCATCTACTCGTGTTTCCATTATTTTCTAAATTTTATTTCCGATGTCACCACCTTTTGACTTTAATGGATAATTTTTATAGAGAAGAAAAATCACTCATTTTACAAAATTTCTCAATTTAGAAGAAAAAACAATTGATTTCAAACTGATATTATGTCGGGCCATTAAATTTTCTCTTAATAGTAAGTTTTTAAAACTTTTTTGACCCTAACGACATGATTGAATTAAAAGAATATATTCAAAGACGTACAGCCACTTGATAATTAGAGCGTCAGAGTGTCAATTTAAATTTAAAGATGTTTTCTCTGTCTAAATCAGAATTCTGTCTGATTTTTTTTATCGAGATGTTTAAGTAAACGAATAAAATATCGCATTTTTAGTTTAAAATTATATATTGAAAAATAAAATATTTTAAAAATGATGGAGATGGGAAATACTATTTCGCAAGAAATTATTTTAACCAACTAAAGCAGTAGTTATAAAAATTGTGATTCTGATAATTATAATATTAAAAGAGTCCATAAACGATAAATAACATATTGCATGGTCTACTTTCAAACATGACTTCAGATCTCACTGTAACGTTTGAATGTCAAATAACGAAAAAAATATAATTTAATTTTTTAGATGAATAATTATAACTTTTGTGGATAAGTACCTAAAAAAATAACATAAATAACGCGAACACACGGTAGCAGCAGCCGTGACCAAATCTTTTGTCCTAATATTGGTCAATCTGTTCAAGAAGCAGCCAAGTGAGAGAGCGTCGGAGCCTAAGAGGTCCCCAATTATTTTTTGTTAAATTAAATTTGTAACGAAATAAGACGAATAATTATAGATATTTAACACTGACGTACCAAGTGGTTCACCTGTTATTTCAATAAGTCACGATCATATGTGATTGTTAATACATTCTTTTTTTGGGGTGCTTTAATTATTTCCAGTTCGAAAATAGCATAATCAAGATTCGACAAAAGAGAAACTATATATTATATCAGAAATAAATCTTTCGCTAATCACTTTCTTAGAAATTAGCGTGTTAATGAATATTCTTCTGTCTAAAAAAACCAGTTTCATATAGATATAAAGATAATATATACACTTTTATTAATTAATGTATTTTTTTTTAATTCGTTAACATTATGGGTTGGGCGAATCTGGAGATAAAATAGTAATATATCAAAAGTTGGTCAAATTACCAAAATAACGACTTATTAATTTTGTAAAATAAAATCCAAGAGGAAAAAATTCGAAGGAAAAGCACAAACAGAGAGATGCAAAGAAGAGTCGGGGTCCACCATAGATGTGCTCACATACATGCTCCACGAACACATGTTCCTTTTTATTTATTTATTTATTTTTTCGAAATTGTACATATTATATATCTATTATAAAAAAAATTATAATACTTTTTTATAATGAATTATTTCATGAAATTCTCATTTATTTCCCCGTTTGCGCCTATAAATTGAGCTCCTCTGCCATTGCCTCAAGTCACACATCGAACAACCAGCATACATCTGTTGCCCATAAGCTACTGTTTGAAACAGAGTCTTCAGAGAGAGAGAGAGAGAGAGAGAGAGAGAGAGAGAGAGATGGAGAAGAACAACTTCCCAGTGATAGATTTGTCGAAGCTCGATGGTGAAGAAAGAGCTCAAACCATGGCCAAGATCGATGATGCTTGTGAGAATTGGGGCTTCTTTGAGGTACATACACACGTATATACACATCTATACATACACAATCCTGTGGTTTTGTGCTTTAATTTTGGATATTTACTTTAGACACATGAAATATTATTTGTTATGTTGTTTTTTCGGTATCTAAATAAATATTTTTCTTTTTTTCCTAATATTAAATGTTTTTTTAGATTAGACTTATTTTGTTTTGTACTTGTTTTGAGGTCCGAATAAATCTTTTTGAATGTTTTTTTTATCCATCAAAATTCTATTTTCCGATATTTTTTTATCCATCAAAATCTTTTTGAATGTTTTGATTAGACAGTGTATCCGAACCATAACTAATAAATATACGTGTCTGTATCTTGGAAAAAAAAACTAATTACAAAGATATCAAGTTTGTCTAACGTAGAATCATCAGAAATTCGATTTTCAATGACTGGTTGTTGATATTTCTTACTAAAGGACATATACATACATGGTTACACATGCAACCGCACACTCATAGATATTATCATTATCATCATCATCATCATCATCATCATCATCATCATCATGATGTTTTTTGGGTGAAAGATATATTGATGTGATAGAATGAATTATGCAATAATAAAGTTGGGGAATTAAATTTTATTTTTGGCAGTTGGTGAACCATGGGGTACCACTGGAACTAATGGACAGAATCGAGAAGATGACGAAGGAACATTACAGGAAGTGTTTGGAGCAAAGGTTCCAAGAAATGGTCCAAACCAAAGGTCTCGACGCTGTTCAGAACGAGGTCAACGACGTTGACTGGGAAAGCACCTTCTTCCTCCGTCACCTCCCCGAGTCCAATCTCTACGACATCCCCGACCTCTCCGACGAGTACCGGTACGACCCCACCACCACAAAAATCGTATATACTGATATATTTGTACGTATTTTGAGTTAAAATATAACGTTTTTGTCGGCAGGGCGGCGATGAAGGACTTCGCGAAAAGGCTGGAGAATCTGGCGGAGGAATTGTTGGATTTGCTGTGTGAGAATTTAGGGTTGGAGAAAGGGTACATGAAGAAGGTGTTTAACGGGACAAAGGGACCAACATTTGGGACAAAGGTGAGCAACTATCCACCATGTCCTAAACCGGACTTGGTTAAGGGATTGAGGGCCCACACAGATGCGGGAGGAATCATACTGCTCTTCCAAGACGACAAAGTCAGTGGACTCCAGCTCCTTAAAGATGGCAACTGGATTGATGTCCCTCCTCTCAAGCACTCCATTGTCGTTAATCTCGGCGACCAACTTGAGGTACTTCTGCTATTTCTTTTTTGTCTTAACCAATATTGACGATTGAAATCCGGTTTCCGGTTTAGTATCGGTTAATGAGTAGCCAACCAAACTAAACTAGAACAAGGCTCGCATGATTGCGGTAAAATTAACAGTGGGAAAATAACCGCTAAACCAACAGGACTTATCTCGAATTAACACAAGAATCAACCCGGTTTGAAGTCTGGTTTAAGGTTAACCAAAATCCCCCATGATATGGAATAACGCAGGTGATAACCAATGGCAAGTACAAGAGTGTGATGCACAGAGTCATGACCCAAACCGATGGGAATAGGATGTCAATCGCTTCCTTCTACAACCCGGGAAACGACGCTGAGATCTTCCCGGCCCCGACCCTCGTGGAGGAAGATTCCGACTACCCGAGATTCGTCTTCGATGACTACATGAAACTCTACGCAGGGCTCAAGTTCCAGCCCAAGGAGCCGCGGTTCGAAGCCATGAAGAATGCTTCTGCTGCACAGGACTTGAAACCAGACACCGCGGTCGAAACCTTCTGATGATATGGTTTTAATCAATGCTATGTTAAAAAAGAATAATAAAATTAAATGGGTTTGGTGTTTATGTTAATGGGTTAAGACTTAAGACATGGTTTAAGGGTCGGGGTTAGGGTTAATGTTTGCGTGGTGTGTGTGTGAGAGAATAAGCTTTTATACTTTAAAAGAGTTTGTATGTGTTTGTCATATGTAGATTTGCAAGTGTCGGTGTTTTAGATATTACAAAAAGTTTTAACTTTTAAAATACACATCTCTCCATCTCTAGTATATATATCTTATCTATATATACACACACATATAAAATATATATCCATAATATATCGATAATTATATATGTATATAGTACTCAAACTAGACGTTGCATGAATTTTTTTTCTTCTGAATTTGATTCACACAAGGGAGGGGCTGAAAACTTTTTCATTGAATACTGAAGAAATTTTATTGGATGTTTTAAATCTAATATTACTGATTTAGGGTAAGTATTAGATTATGATGTTTCCTTATACAGACGCGTATTTAACAAAATATTTTAAATTAAATAACTTAAACTAGTTTTAATTGTATAAAAACCTTAAAGAGAGTTTAATAAAATTTCATTTGGATAATATATTGTATATAGTTAAATTAATCTGTTTTTATTTGAAAATAAGAAATCAGAATTCAATAAATTTTCATTAAGTTAGCATACCGTAAAACAGTAGTTTAAATTAATATTGATAAAAAAATATATCAAGCGAGTCTAGAAAAGTTTGAATTGATTAATAACATTAATTGAAAACTATTAGAATTTATTTTTTACTTTAAAAACGTAAATGCTAGTCTAAGAAATTTTTCTTAAATAAAAATTGTGAAGATTAACCAATATTGAATTTAAAATCTTAAAAACGAATCTAATAAATTATCTAATATATATCATTATAAATAGTTAGATTAAATTGTTTTCCATTTGAAAATACGAAATAGGAGTTTAATATACTTTTAAGTTAAAAGATCTTAAAAAGAAGTTTTACTTGATATAGAACCTAAAAAATGAATAATAAATTTAAAACGGTTAACAACTTGGTAGCTTTTCTAATCGAAAATAAGAAATGGTTAACAACATAACATTTATTTATATAATGTACTGATATATATATATATCGCACGTGCATATAAGGGAAATTGGGTCAAGCCCATTGGTTAACCCAACCCAATCATATATATAACGTAATATACACACGCATAAATGAGAAAATGGGCCATAACCTATTGGTTAGCCCAAAAAAACCTATTGGTTAACCCAAACCCAATTTAATCCCAGACCATTTATGAGCGACTTTGGTTGATTCTATGGATTGGACGATTTTCTTTTCTTTTTTTTTTCAAATTTTCATTTATATAAGTAAATTAGATTCACATTTAACACACATGTATATATATATATATATATATATATATATATATATATATATGACTAAGGAGTATTTTTTTAATATAATACTCGTACATGACGTGAATTTACGAAACTAATTAGATATAAAGATAAGTCTAATTACAAAAAAGGAAATTCTCTACACCGTAACTTCTAATAGTATATAAATATGTATACAACAACAACAAATCGCCTTAATTCCGAGTTGATTTGAGGTTGACCGCATAAATTTTTTTCCATTCAATTCGATTTTGCGTCATATTTTTCGATATTTACAACATATCTAAATCATTTTTAATGACTCGTTCTCAAGAAAGTTTAGGCATATCATTTATTCATTTCTTTACTTTCATCCTTATACTCTCTAATTTTCTAACCAGAACATCTAGCGGTCTACGTTTTACGTGTCCAAAACACTTTGAACGTTTCTCACATAATTTCTCTTCTATGGTTATGACTCATAATTTCTCTCTAATACTCTCATCTCGAATTCGGTCTATTCGTGTATAACATCTTCATCTCGGTCACAAACATTTTGGACACGTGTTAGTCTTTTCACCGTCCAACATTCACTGTTATACATTTATAAATATATATATATATATATATGTCTATATATACACACAGTCGTATCCATAAACACACAGACATGTACACAACATATTTGCACATATATAAATACACTGTATATACTACCGAAAGATAGATTTGGAATTTAGAAATCTGTAAATTCGTTTGGTTATTTCACAATCGAGTGACCATCATATATATACAAGTGGAAAGAAAAATAGAACTGATAGACAATCAAGGAAATATCTGAACAGGAAAATATGATAGAAGGAAAAAGATCTTGAGCGGGAAAGAATGAATCAGCTCGCCAAACCAGCTCAGACCGGAAATAACCAGGAGCCTAATATATACCAATATATGCACCTGTACATACGTACAGGTGGACATGATGTCTGCCACGTGTTACGGCCACTAGTAAAAACCTTTACTCGGGATATATGATATATTATATGATATATCATATATAAATAATAACAACAATTAGTAGGCAAAGGCATCGAATTGCCCCCACGGATTATTCACGATGTTGGTAGTAATCTCTCTTTCTTCACCACATTAGAATTTAAAATATTATATTTAAATAACAGTGAATATAGCCTTTCTCAAGCATGATAGTCGCTAGACCGAATCAGCTTGAATATATCTTAATTCAAAAAAATTAAAACTTAACAAGATCTGTTTTAATTTAAATCCAACCAAAACATTCATAAATTAAAATAAATCCATTCCAAATCAAAAGTTATTGTGTTAATGATTTTTTTTTTTGTTATATGATCCGAAATAAACCAGACCTAAAATCGGTTTACTTTGGTTTAATCGAAATTGCAAACTATGACAAGTTCACAAACATTTGGTCGTACGTGAAGAGTTTGGTGTTAAGACAAAGTTAACCTTTTTCAAGTGGCCAGTTGGTTTTATTGATGCTGCAAAGAATCCACCAAAATGCCAAGCAAACAATATTTTATTCGTTCCTGAAAATATAAATTCGAAAGAAAAATAAAAAAATATTTGTATGTATGTATATATATATATATATATATCAAACACTAATAACTTTTGAACCAAGCAATCACGAGAATCCTTTGAAAATCTCTGCTTTGGATCCGTTCCTTATTCACTTCGCTTCCTTTTCTTTTTTTTTTGCGCCCCAACCCAACTTATATCCAATCGTCTGGTGGCTTTCCTTCTTCTCCTCTCTTTTCAATTTCCCGGAAAGTTTCCTTGTTTTCCCGGAAAGCTTACCCTGTTCTTCAACCCTTTTTCATTCCCTGTGACAAAATGAAGCCCGTTACTTTTCCTGTCCGTCTCTGTTTCCTTCTTGTGAAACTTTTTTCCTTTTGATATCCGCTGTGGTTTTGGGGACACCGCAAACAAAAAAAAACCCCTGTTTGGCTTGTATGAATATTTTCCTGGGTTTTCTTTCCCTGATTCTGTTTGCTTCCCGAGAAAATTAATGAAAACCCGGATTTTCTCTCGGGATTTCCTGCCGAACCCATGTTTTTGAATCAGTTCATGCACTTCCTGAAATCGATTCACACTTTCAGAAGGAAAAACCCCTTTTAACGCCCAAAACCAAACCACCGGACAAAAAACAAACAAACCCTAAAGCCCCTCAAGAAGAAGAAACACAACCTTGCGACCCAAGAAACCAGACATGGCGGGATCATGTTTCAACCCGTTTCGTCTCCGTAGATCTCAAAAGACGAAACTCCAGCCTCCAACGCAACCTCTGCCACCCATATCTTCGCTTCCATCGTCCTCGAAGTCGAGATACGCAGAGACAGAGACGATGGAGAAGAAAAGATTCGACAGCATGGAATCTTGGTCGATGATTCTGGAATCTGAGAACGTGGAAACTTGGGAGGCATCGAAGGAGGACCGAGAGGATTGGACGGCGGATCTGTCGCAGCTTTTCATCGGAAACAAGTTTGCTTCAGGAGCACACAGTCGCATTTACAGAGGGATCTATAAACAGAGAGCGGTGGCGGTGAAAATGGTGAGGATTCCGACACACAGGGAAGAGACAAGAACTAAACTCGAACAACAGTTCAAGTCTGAGGTTGCTCTCCTCTCTCGTCTCTTTCATCCCAACATCGTCCAGGTTTGGATTTTCTTTCTTTTTTTTTTTTCATCGTTCAAGTCTTCTCTGTTGCAACTTTGGTCATAGGTTATACGGGTTTGGCTGAATATGATTCGGTTTAATCGAATTATTTACATTTTTTATTAACAAAAATAAATCAATCTATCCCATATTCTAACACTATCGAGTTTTGTCGGATGTGTGTGTGTTTATTTCCTTTGTGGGGATCGAATAAAGAGGCTGTGTTTGGAATATAATATCGTACCCATCATTTCATATTATATACCAAGACCTAATCGCAATTACTTCTAAATCTCGCTGATTAAAAGACTAATTATAATTAATCAACGATCTTGAATTGACGTCATTAATATCTTAACCTTAATGTACAATTAACAATTAAGACAGACATTTAATCTTTGACGTAAATTATACAGAAAAACTCAATTACATAAGGACAAGAACTCTTACAAGGATCGGTTTTGAGAATAACCATCTCGTGATCTTTCTCTTCTTCTGTCGCAGTTCATCGCAGCGTGCAAGAAACCGCCCGTATACTGTATAATAACGGAGTACATGTCCCAAGGGAATCTGCGGATGTATCTGAACAAGAAAGAACCGTATTCTCTCTCGACCGAAACCATTCTAAGATTGGCCCTCGACATATCGAGAGGGATGGAGTATCTTCACTCGCAAGGGGTTATCCACAGAGACCTGAAATCGAACAATCTGCTGTTGAACGACGAGATGAGGGTCAAAGTTGCAGATTTCGGGACCTCGTGTCTCGAGACGCAGTGCAGAGAGGCCAAGGGAAACATGGGGACTTACCGGTGGATGGCGCCCGAGATGATCAAGGAGAAACCCTACACCCGGAAAGTCGACGTCTATAGCTTCGGGATCGTTCTTTGGGAGCTCACTACCGCTTTGCTTCCGTTCCAAGGCATGACTCCCGTTCAAGCCGCCTTTGCCGTCGCTGAAAAGGTTAGTATATGTGCTTATCTACCGGGTTTTATATATATACACAATATATATTCTCTTGTATATGAATCCAGAGTAAGTAATATATGACTGAACGTATTTATCGATGGACAGAACGAGAGGCCGCCATTGCCGGCGAGCTGCCAACCGGCGTTAGCCCAACTGATAAAACGGTGCTGGTCGGCGAACCCGTCGAAGAGGCCGGATTTCTGCGAGATAGTGGCGGCGCTCGAGAAATACGACGAGTGCGTGAAAGAAGGACTGCCCCTCGCCGGCCTTGTCACCACCAAGAACGCCATTCTTGATCGACTCAAGGGCTGTGTTTCGTCCATCCATGGCTCCTCTTCCTCCTCCTCCTCCTCCTCTGTCCCTGTACATGCCTAAGTAAAATCCCCTTCAAAACCTTCTCCTTCGTTCCAAAGGTATTCTCTCTCTCTAATTATTTCATTTCCTTAAAAAAGCTTATGTATACCGCACTTAATTGTCATTTTATTCTTGCGTATACGGCTTTGGTCGTCGAATTTTAATGGATTTATTATTAATGTATAACTTACTTACTAGTTCTAGTTTTCATCTTAACATTGGTGTTTAGAATTTATATATATATATTCTTAACATATGGTCCCGTATATTATTTTTTATAACCAGTAGGTTCAATTATGCAAAATGAATCTAATCATCAAATCTCAATCGATGTAAATAAAAATACATAGATAATGTGTCCAAAGTGAATGTTATATAAAAATATGAAACTTGAAAAATCCAAATTCTAATAAAATATGACAGTAATTTTAAAAATAAATAAAATTGACATGACATAATAAAAATTAAAGCCAGTTCAATTCAATATAAAAATTGAATTAACATAATTTTTTATTAAACAATTTGAACCCCAAAATATTTGAATCAAACCCGGAGTAGGTGTACTCTGTGGACTTTTGTGGGTGGAATGGGGAATACCTTATGTTTAAATATTATTTTTTATTTAATTTTTTCGATTATTTTCTTAATTATTTGCGTATGCATGTTAATAGATTGAAATACAAAAAAGGTGGAGAATGACACATTAATTATTATATTTATGGATATCAAAGTTTATTTTATTTTGTTATAGTAAAATAGCATTAGGAGTTAAAGAATGTTATTTTCAGATTCTAGGTAACAAACAGATAAGGTTAGACTAATATTTACCTAATCCTACCATTTTTTCCTTGTAACGGATGATTTATTAGCCCTAATGATGGTAGTCGTACGATGATTAACTCTAATAATTCATGGTGTTTGGTTGGTGAATACAAAAAAAGTCAGAAAAAGATTAATAGTGAAGTATAATCTTTCGGCGATTATTTTATTCGTATTAATAATTTCTCTATACACACACTGACACACACACACATATATATATATATATGTATTATAAATAGTTGTAATGCTTATGTAGATATATAAACTTATGTTCTTAAGCTAATTAATAATTGTAATATTTATATACAGACGAATCAAGTTGTTGGTTATAAAATTTATTGAGTTATTATTCATACGTAAATAAAAAAAAAAATACGCGTTGAAACTGATGTCACGAGATTTATAAGAATTTGGTCTATTTCTATATAATGAAAAATTACAGTTGAAGTGGGCGCCGCGTATCAAAGAGACGTTGAATGCCTGATCGAAGTTTTTTTTATAACGCGGACACGAGGAGTCCAGGTTAATATCTCTCCAAACCAGGATTTAAATCCGGATTGAAAAATAATTTTATTATTTTTTTAACCGGTTGAATCATCTAATTTTAAATAATTGAGGTTATATATAATGTCGACAGTTAATATTTTTTTAATCTTTATTCTATCTTTGTATATATCAAACAGAAATAAAATAATCATATTATATAATTTAAAAGTATAATAAAAATAAATGGAAATTGATATTAGAATAACGTTGAAACATTATACTGGTTCAATCAGATTTCAAGCATTGATGTTAATATTATTCGATATAAATTATTTTCAATTTTGGATTCTATTTTTTTTAAATTAATATTTTGTTCGCGAATGTTCTATCAAAGGCAAGTCGCACAAGATGCTCGTGGAATGCAAAAAGACCAAGTCAAAGACGTCGTGTTGACTTTTGGATTGCTTTGAAAAACGTATTGATAGGTTAATTTGGCATAATTTTATCGATTATTAGGTGACTATTATGCGTTATTTTAGTCGTTATATATATATATATATATTATATAATCAATTTTCATTAGTTTTTTGAATTCTGGTTCATTCAGCGATTGATTTTTAAATGGTGTAATTGGAGCTAACTATTTGGAATGGAAAGTTTTAGTTTATATAAAGTTTAAATATAATCATATTCTTTATTTGATTTGGGTTTATATATTGGCATGATATTAAAATAAGAATCAAGAATTCGTAAAAATAAATTATATCGCCTATTTAAATCAGGACATTATAAAAAATACTCTTACTTTGCTATTCTTATTTCAACACATACCCTTCTTCAGTTGTGATCAATGTGACCCAAAATATAGTTTGGTCATATGTTGATCTCATTGTTTATAATATTAAATTTATGATGTTTTAATCAAATAATTAGTAAGATATGTAAGGTATGAACATAATGAATTAGTAAGATTACCATAAATTTAACGTTATAATCAATAAAATCAAAATGTGATCACACTATATTTTGGGTCACATTGATTACATGGTCACAATTGGAAAATGGTATATGTTGAAGTATGAATAGCAAAGTAAGGGTATTTTTTATATAATGCAATTTTAAATCGTATTATTCTGTAACATTTGATGACAGACAAATTGAAAAGGTATAATGGTGTTTCATGTTAAATAGCTCATCCCATCTCATAGATATATTACGAGTCTTGACTAATTCCTGAACTGCAACTTGCTGATCCTAGTGGAGCACATTATCAATTTTATTTTCAAAAAACAAATATATTAATTAATATTAAATTGAAAAATCGAAAAACAAAAAAAAATATATTCTGAATTATTGTAATATGTGCAAATCCTTTATGTGTACCGAGACGAGAGCCATTTCTTTTGTCCCCTCTTTCTGGATTTAGTCGTCAAACACAAAAGTTAGCATACCCGCATTTCTAGGGTTTAGTTCCCTCCTCTTTACAAACAAAATTTCCTAAATCCAAAAATAAAATATTAGTTTTAAAATACATGACGTTTAAGAATTCTATACATAAATATTAAGAAAAATAATATTTTATCTAAAATACCCTTATTTAGTAGATAGATAATGATTATACAAAATATTTAAATATTATTAATTAAGAATAAATTTGGAAAAAAATATTAAAAACGTTATTTATTTTGAAACAAATTTTTTACTCTAAAACGGAGGGAGTAGACTTTTCAATTTTAATAAAAAATACTCAAACTTTTTATTTTATCAAATAAATATTAAATAATCTGACGTGTTTGTATTTGACTGCGTCACGTGAGTCATTTTGTTTATTTTGACAATCGTTGAAGAGTTAAGTGTTTATTTTGTCAAACTTAAAAAGTTTAAATATTTATTTGATAAAATAAAAAGTTTAGTGTTTTTTTTGTCAAAATTTAAAAGTTCAATGTTTTTTTAGAATTTTTCCTAAATAAAATTATTCATACGAAAACAAATATAAAATGCATACTTAGTATATATTTTCACACACATTATTGTAATCGAACGAATTAAAGATACAAAATTACAAACTATATAAAATATGATCTAAAACAAATATTTCTAATGAAAAATCTAATTGATACTTGAGATAAAATAAAAACATACAAATTTCCTAAAATTTAAAAAAATCAATAAATAAACAAAACAAAATCAACCTGAACCGAAATACAGCTGCTCCGTTAGTTTGAGAGTCATATTTGGAAACTCAGACAAAGTTATAATTCATAATATCAACTAGGGTTAGGTTTAGTGCTGAATAATATTCGTTTGAAAACAGTGGGATAACATTTTTATTTAATTTTATAGAAAAAAAAGGGACAATACAGAATGTATCCAACTACCGTTAAATTAATGTTGCATATTGCGGAATCTCGCATTATTAGAAGTTTATACGAAAAAAAAAAAGACAGAGACAACCATAGGGGGCCATATTCTGTATATTTATTTATTCCGTTATTTTCCACGAAGTTGTGGGGAATCTGATAAATATAAAATTAAAAAAAAAACTTCTCATTAGCTTCAAAAGTCTCATAAATTATCAAACCAGCCTCAGTCGAAAAACCATGCATGGTTTGCGTAAATAACATGCTTTTTTTTTTAATTGAATGTGTATTTTTTCTCCTTAATTTTTGGGTTTTTTTTTGGTGAAAATGAAATAATATTAAAAAATGTGTTTATTATGTTTAATTTTTAATCCTTATAGTTGGAAAAAGGGGACAACTAACTGGTCGTGCTTTCTTTAATCGCGAAGAAACATAAAAACAAGGGTTAAAAAGAGAACATAAGGCATGGTGTTATAGAAGATGCTTAATATACTATATCATACCATATTATAATATGATATAAATAAACCCTAAGTTAGTAATGTTTAGGGAAAAAATCGCGTCTTCTTATTCTTCGTTTTGAGTTGGAGATTCGGCAAAAAACATACAACTTTATAATATTTACTATGTCCAAAAACGAAGATTTTGGGTATTTTGGTATAATTTTCCATATTGTATGAAAATAACATTGTATCTTGTATTTACCATATTAGTCACATTTTTTTTTGGTATATCCTTTTTCATTTGACGATTAGTAAAGATTCGAACATACACACCGATCATCAAAATATATGTTGTTAACTAATAATACATTCACATTTCAATTAGATAGCTAAGTATCCTAAATAATTGAAAAATTAAATCAAATCGAACGGAACCAAATCAAACGAATAACAATGGGATTCGCACAATTATATATGGAAAGAAAAATAAATGTTCTACAATGTGTTTGTCTTTTCATAAATTATAGTACGGATTATAAGCAAAAATATCCGAATTATTGTGCATTATTTAATTTTTTTATTTGCTTGAATCGAATCATCCGCTTTTGGGACCCTGAAATCCGTGACACCTATGCAATTTGTGTTCCCCTTGACAAAGGGGCGACCATCCGTCTTCCAGCTTTTCTCAATTCCCCAATTTACCCTTTGGATTTACGATTTAAATGGAAATGATAATTACATTCTAATTCATTTTAACTATTACTTACGTTATGTTTGAATTATGCTTGTCCGTATTCAGATATTGACGTTAATCAATATACGGTGATATTATCTCGAAAAGTGTTTACCTCTTCTTTACAGATTCATTGACTGTAAATTGCCATTGGATATCTTGTGCTGTTGTTGTAAATACACATATTTTTATTTTTATTTTCTCCTATATTACACATATTTAAGCCTGGAAATTTCAGTAATTAAACATCTATGTTACAGAGTTTACCCTTTTTTCATAAAATATACAAAAATTAGGGCGAAAAATAGAAGGAAATAAAATTCATCATAAAAAAAACTTGGACCAAGAAAAAAAAAACTTTAAAAAAATGCCCGAGCTTCTCTTGAAATTTTCTCGGCCATTTTCCCGTCAATATTTCTCAGCCCCAAACACCCAGAAATTTCTCGCCGAGAAAACTCACGAACCTCCTGACAGAGCCCTTCTCCTCCTCCATATTACCGCCGCCGCCTCCGCCTCCGGAACCTCGAGCCGCCGCCGAGTCAAACCCGGCGCCCAGCTCGGTCCCACATGGACTCGGCTCTACGATTCGACTCGGACAGACCGAGTCAACCTTTGCACCGTGAACAGAAGCTTTCCCCCTCTTCCTCCGATCCTTCTTCCCGGTTCTCTCCTTCTTCTTCTTCTCCAAGCTGTCCTCAAACGCGTCGATGATCTCATGTATGAGTTGGCGACTCGGGGACGAGTCCCACCTGACCCAGTAGCTCGTGTAACAGCTGAAACAGTCGCAGTGGAAGAGAGGTGGGTGAAGATCGTCGTTTTGGATTTTGTGGGTCTTGGTGGTTTTCCGGCGAGAGTTAGGGCTCCGATCACCAGAGGTGGAGATGAGGTAGGCGAGGACTTCGCGATCCTCCGGCGAGAGAGCCGCCGCGAGGGAGAGGATTGCGGCGGGGAGGAGGAGAGAGAGAAGGTGGTCGTCGGGTTTTATCTGCGGCGACGGGTGTACGGTTCCCTTGCGGTACAGCTTCTTCATGGTTCCTCTGATGAATGTTAGAGAGAGAGAGATAGAGAGAGAGAGAGAGAGAGAGAGAGAGAGAGAGACTTCTTGAAGAAGGAGTTGGACTTTGAATTTTGAAAGGCCCTTTGGGTTTTTGTTCTTTCGTTTTCCTCTCTTTTTTTGTACTTTTTTTTTTTGCAGTCGTGTAAAAAGGGTTAAGAGTATCTCACGGTGCATTAAACATATTATATTTCTATTATATATATATATATATATGTTATATTTCATATTTATAATTTTGTTTATGTTCCAATGACCCGTGGCAAACTATTTACGATGGGAACCACTATCCTACAACCTTTCGAATTACTTGTCTTACAAATCATTCGCTTTAGTTAAAACCTTTTAATATAAGTTAAAACAGACTAATTATTGACTACATGTGTATTCATCGACTCATTAGTTCAAAACTTTTGGGCGATAGGAATTTAATGTGGGTCAAAGTGTGGACCTGTCTAGATACAAGTAATATATATTTATATATATGTATATCAATATGTATATATTATTTGTAATATTTCTATATAATTAAACAAGTTGGAATGATATGTGCAATGGAGCATGCCTAAATATCTATCAATAAAAAAGTCTTAATGTTATGTGCAAATATAGAGCATGCCTTTGTGGCTGGTGAGTCCAGTGTCTTTTAAACTAAAAAAATGAAAAAAAAGAATGATTATCGAAAATTCCTAATTATTTATTACATTACAGGTATTTTTTTTAGGTGAAAACAAAAGTAAAAAGGGAGGCAGAATTGAACTAAAATCAAAATATTGCATGAAAAATAATTCCGAGAATCTCTGGATAAATGGATTATGGATGTATTTTCAAATTTGGTCAAATACACGAACCTTGAAAATGAAGAGGGTGTTTCGGAACATTGTAATAGGCCCATTATTATCATTAGCCATCTTATTAGCAAAAGGCCCATAAAAACCGGTCCGTTCAATACCCACATCTTTATAATATTACCAATTAAATTAATATTGTAATCATAAATAGCTAAATATTGTTATGAAACCACGTTTTGATATCCCCACAGTCTTGCAATTCCTTCCTTCACACAAAATAATCACATATCTACAACATTTTCGAGAACGTATAGTCATAGTCATAAGGATAATTTCAATTGGCGTCATCATATATTTGTCTTATGTATGATATGATACATTCAATTACACATTCAATCGCTTATTCCCATTATCATCAATCGGAACAGAGATTCGGATTTAAATTTGTAAATCCGAAAAAAGCGGGTTCTTGGATCAAACTCAAATCGCCTTTCGCGATTGGTTAGATAAAACCTGATGGTTTCGAGTCAAGTTTGAAAATCCAATTTTTTTTATAAAAAAATCCAATTAATTCGATTTTTATAGGACCGGATTTCGGATTAAGTTTTACAAGTCTAAAAAAATTCGGACCGATCGAATCCAAACCCGAAACTCTCGACCTGAGTATGGGTTTACACCGAGCCGATCCGTTTAACACCCTATCCAAAATTGAAAAGTAATACGGAATTTAAAGAATTCATTCATGAGAAAAAAAATATTTAAGTAAAAATTTAAAGATGATTTAATTTCATTAATAATAATTATAAATAACTTACATAGATATTAGGATATAATGTTTTTTATGTAATGGTTTCAATTTAATTTGGATTTAAGGTTACTGAACCAATAAAATAAAAACTATTTAACTTACAAAATGCCATCCCACAAAAACTCCGTATCAACCAAGGTGACACAAGTTCCTTAAACGTGAACCCTAAAATGCAAGAAAATCATTGCAAGTCGCAACCATGGCCGCCAAACGCAATCATCAAACGCCCAATGTTAAGTCCATCCTCCCTCCTAAACACTTCCCTACAACCCGTCTTTACGAATCCAATATGCGGTTTCAGATCGCGATCGCAATCGCAACCGCTACCCTTAACCTTAATTGCCTCGTTAACGGTACGTTTGTAGTGTCCGAACCATTTGGCTTGGACGAAACCGTTCCTCCTCCATGGCGGCACGTGAATCCCCACCTGCTTCATCGACAGTCTGATCTCGTTGCACATTATCCTCACCAAGAGTTTCAGCTCTCGGGACGTCCCCACGAAGACACGTGGCACCTCGGCTAATAGGGCGAGGTAACGTTCCGTGGGCCGAGCTATTTGGAACTCTCCGACGAGATTCGTTTCGACTATATAACGGTTATGATCGGCTTGCACGTCCACGTACTCGTATTTGCCTGAAGGGTTCCTGCCGAATTTCTCCCACCGAGACTTGCAAAGACCTATATATGACCGGTTATGTCGGTTTAGTTTGATTTTGATTTGATTCGGTTTAGTTTGATTTTGTTATAGATTAAGAGTAACACGAATTAATTACACATAATAAAGACAATGTATTCTTATGAGCATATTGAAATGTCATAATGGATGGATTAATTAATCCATTTGATCATTTTAATTCATTTAAAATCTATAAACTTTTGTTTAGAATAATCTTAGAATTTGGAATGATGATACACCATGAACTCATCATCTGTGTGTATATATGTGTGTGTGTGTATATATAGAGTATATAGTTACCTGAATCAAAGCCCTTGTTACGTAGAAAAGCCATCAAGTGCCTCTTAGAAGAACTCGCTTCCGTCTCTCCGGCGATCTCATGAGCAAATGCCTCCACCTCCGTCGCAATCCTCCGCCGCTCGCCGCCGTGATCCCCTCCACCGCAGAGAATACCCCGTAACCTCTCCATCACGTCTTCGAAGTCGTCGACGCCGTCTCCGTCCTCGGAATCGCTCTCCTCCGCCGTCGAGTTACGAGTCTCCGTCGCAGTGGATTTCTCGTCTCTCTCCATGAAAGACTCGACGAGATCCCTGAGATCCGCCATGTTTTCCGGCGAGTGGTCGCTTCCACTACTCTCGTCGCATGGCGTGCGCGCACGCGTGGCTGCCTCGTCGAACGCCGCCGCAACCCTCCGGAATGTAACCGGAATATCCAAATTTACCATTTTGCCCTTCCCCCTTCTCTCTGATCTTCCTCTCCCTTTTTTTCCGATTCGACAAATATCTTTTTTTTTGTGTCGTCAACGATTCGGCTAATCTATTGTACATATATATATATATATATATACGCGTGTATACGTATATATGGATATACATGCATTGACATATTTACATGGGGAAAGAGATAAAAAAGGAAGGAAACGACATAATGAAAAAAGATGATGATAAGAGTGGTGAAACCATGATGACACGACTGACGGCGCTTCTTGACGGTGACGGAGCCGTTTAGTTTTTAATTTTTTGGATTTTGAGTTTGACAGATTTTGGACACGAATTGAAACCACTTTAACATCCATACTGCTTGAAAGATAAATTTGTTTAGTTTCTTAAATGTAAGCATAAAAAAAATTTCCAATTTATAATTTAAAATAAACTTCAACATAAATTTCATATTTTGTATTCGAAATAGAGTTTCTCAAATAATTATTAACATACACATATATGTATATATATAATGATCAGCTAATATCTAAACGGCGTTAATTTTTCTACCGAACTGTTGACTTGAGTAGACGGGCGTGCTCACGGGCTGGTAGCAGCGTGTGATGCCACGTGCAATTCAGTCACCGTACCAAAACAAAGATGTGTCTGCCACGTGTCTTGCCAGGTGGATTTTTTCACGCCATGATAGACTTTTTTTTTTTTTGAAATTCGCCTTTTTTTTATTATTTTTGGACGCAGAAAATGGAAGCGGACGATCGATGTCTAGATTCTGTTAATCAGGTTTTACGTCCAGATTCATTGTATCTGGTGTATCGTTTCACACTTAAGTGATAGATTGGCTTTTTTTTTTGTTTTTTGTTTTTATGGTCGTGACTCATGAGATAGTTGTTGGATATTTTAATTGAACCACACATAATATAAATGTTCTGGGAAAGTATAACCTTGCTTTTATACACATGACTCCAATAAATAATTATTTTATATATTTATTTGGTGACCAAAAGATAATATAAAATTATACTTAATAAACGTAAATATCAACGGAGGTACAATTTGGGCCTACCAATGAGTTCATCGCCCAAATAGATGATAAGCCCACTTAAGTCATAAGGCCCAATATGGAAGGCCATTAATTTTATGGACCTATCTTCAATGAGTCGAAAGTTCAAATGGACCTAACCCATATGATATGTCCGTACATACAAATTACAATTAAGACGAGGACGATGACAGATTTATCATACAAAATCAAATTTGGATTAAATTTCAAACATTTGGAAGTCATTCATAGATATCATAACTCAGTAAATCATCAGCCATGTACATATAAACCACCAAGATTACTTTGATACAGTTCACTGCAATCACCATTCAAGAGATACATGTAATTAATCTCATGTATATGAACCCTAAAAACATCCAAACCAAACCCAACAAAGATCTGTTCCTTCAAGTCCCAAGAACTTACCAAACATTGTGAAGAACTTGATCGGAAACACGAAATTATCGATCGAATTGTGTGTGGAAGATGTCTTGAGTGTTTAACTACGAAAAGCCGATAATTGTTGCTCCTCTATCCTGCAACATCTGCCCCAGTTTTGTGAACAGGGCTTCTTGTTCCACCAATGTAAGGTTCGTCAGTATCTGCATAGACTCAGACGAATGCGCCAAAAAACAAGTCAGATATTAGATTGTTGATCAGGTAACAGTATATAATAAACTGAAATATCTGTCTGTTAAGAGGGATTTTTATCAGGGTTGGTCCGGATTTACGTATGTATGCAACGGACAAGTCGAGCTCTTTGAAGAATCTTTACCTGGTCCAAGATCTTATCAACCGAAAGGCTTTGTGAGACGATGAATGACTGGAGATATATGTATGCAAACACAGCCATCACCATCTGTAACATTGACAAGGTATCCGGTTTAAAGCTTGGAAATACGAGGGGTCGACTGCATAAAAAGTCCGATGAATGAATATGAACTCTTGCTATTACAACAATTACAAATCCTAAATCTCTTCAATGGGGAAACCTACAACCATTGTATTCTGAATATCAATATTTCGATTGTATTTCTCAATCCCAGCCAATCAAATCAACCAGGCAAGACATTTTCAGATCTCTGATCTTCTAAAGAGATTAGGTTCATAACTACCTGGCAGTCCATTCTATCTGTAATCCCACCATGTCCAGGAATACTATCTCCGAAATCCTGGGAAAAGGGTTATTGAATAAAGGCATTGTTAATGGATAGATGTTTATGAAATTAAAGCTTAGTTAACTTCAGTGGTGTTGGATACAGACCTTAATTTTGAAAGCTCTTTTGAACCCACTGGCGAAAAATCCCCCGAAAGGTGCTATTATCGATGCAAACAAACCGAGGCACAAAGCATGCCACTGAACAGGGAGGACCATGATCTCCTTCCAAGGAAACTGCACAAGACAAGTGAAAGACATTAAACCACCCCAAGCTATTGTTGGTGAGTGGTGAAGTCAGGTTTAACCTGTGGCTTTACAGGTTATATGGTCTGTATATTATTACATATATAAAGAATTACCAAATGCACACTCGAAAAGTTGAAACTATCGAAGACACAGGGCATGATTCCAAAAGCTTACCCACTCTGGAATCCATGCAGGTAAAGTGAAAGGCTCGGGCTTGAAGAGTGGACCAGGGTCACAATGAAGCCAGCCAGTGGACAGATCCTGCACGAATGACCCACAGACAGTTCACCCATAAGTATGCTACAAAATCGCAGTTAAAAGACAAAAGGTGTCCTCCTTTTTATACCACTTACCTGCCTTGGACATGTCAACCATGGGAAACGGCCCAAAATATCCGCAAGCTGAAATATTACGCATTCGGTAAAATATTTCAGACACTTGCTGTAAAACTAATGATAGGGATTTTGTATGTTTCATGTGTAGGGAGAGTTCACAGGAAATACTCACCAGAAATGCAGAGATTATAGTTGTAACAGAGGCTCCGATGAATCCCTCCCAAGTTTTCTTAGGGGATAGCTTGATTAAGGGTGTTCTTCCAAAGAAGAAACCGAAAATATAAGCGAAGATGTCATTGATTATAATCAAAGATGCCGGAAGAAGAAACCTGAAAATCAGAAGCCATCAAACGTAAGAGAAAATTGTGAGTAATCACAAAGACAACTAAGGTATGAGGGAAAACAGAAACGAAAACAAAGTTAATAGCTAAGTGACAAACAATACCAGATCAGAAACAAAGTATTCAGAATTTTTGAATCTATGGAAGAAGAGTATATAAGCACTTTCTGATTTAATTTTGTTAGCAAACTCAGTGTACAGATGAATCTCGAGACAATTCATACATGACAAAGGAAATGCCATAAAAAATTTAAAAGTGAAATTAATTACCAAAAAATTCCTTCGAAGATGTTGGCCACAGTGAATGCGGATTGCGTGAACACAATGATCAAAATCATGTGGGTCCATGCATACTGGCCAAATTGGTACTTGTACATCTTCTTTTTTAATGACAGAATGAACCACATAAAACCTGCACTTCATTGCACAGCGACGCACATATAAGCATCAAGGATAATGAAAGATGACCGAAAGGAGGATACCATCAAAGTTCAGGGCCAAAAAAATCGGACAAGATCAAAATGGTAAAGGAGAACTAACCTATAATATACAAGAAGTAACAGATAGCCATGTGGTATTTGATTAAGCCACTGACTAAACGATATAAAAATTTGTCTGCAGTCACAGTATTGGCTAGTCGTTGACTAAGAATGCGGCCGTATACAAAGAGCATTGCGGTGAAAAAGAAGTGCCTGCAGAGGACAAGCTCCAAGGAGTTTTTGAAATTCCATACATAGCCTCACTCAGAGGCCACTTTAGCAGATATGCAAAGAATTTGATTGAACATTAACTATATGCTAATGAAACCATAGGAAAGGGAACATACCAATTCAACAGCCTAAACCAAGGGAGACATTTATCCTCATGTGCTCTCCTAAGCAGATTAAACAGCTCTTTTGCCATATATATTTGGATCACAACCACCATGGCTGTGATATAGAGATGGCCCATATAGACAATTACAACAAAACCACCGATCATCCATAGAGTAGAGTATGTTCGGACCAAGAATGATTTGTATTTGGTGCGGTCATTAACAAGCAACCGGCTTTCACCCGCTTTGTCTTCTTCGGGAATAACCTGAAACAACAGAAAATTGAGATCAACACATAACAAAGAAGAAATTATCAAGCTCACTTGCTGCTTTCATGAATGGACTACTTTAACACTTTGTCTACCTAGTAAAACGAGATCATTATAATCATAAGGAAAATAGAGAAATGAAAATCTTCTAGAAGGCAGATGACAAGTAAAAGACCATCTGAATCACAACAATGAACCTCATTTGAGCGTTTTCGATGTCGAAGTCGGACAATAGGTGTTGACGAGGAACTGGAACCACTCTCCTCTTCCATAGCTCTTAAATTCCTTTGCTGAATACAAGAGGAAACCATCTAAGTCACTAAACTGTAACACTAGATTTACAACAGAACGAAAAATTTCTGGAAATTAATGAAGATATTCTGCCAAAGTATGTCTATTTTATTATCATAAGCTTGTCTCGATGACTTGAAAACCATTTTTTCTGAGCAACCGACAGAATTCATATGCATGAATACACATTCCCCTCGTTACCTTAAGCCCCGAGGCAACAGCTTTTCGTCGGCTATGTCCTACAATCGTACAAATATTTGATTGGCTTTAAGTAGATATGGGGTATTCAAGAACTACCAATTCAAGCACGCTAGAAGTTTCTAAATTTCTAATTGACTATCGAAGAATCTTTCAATCCAACATGACAGCTTCAATGCCTAAACCATAGAGAAGCAGCTAAATTACTCAAGTAAACGTACGTTATCAAGACATAGTCAAACATCTTTACGATTCAAAACTTTGCTGATTTCTCAAGTTTCCAGGTAAACAAAGAGAAGCTCGAATCATCCCTATCAATGAAGGTTAACATCCTAACTAGCAAAGAACAGGAGCAAAACTGGATTCGTTTGCAAGACAATTCGAACACTGCAATTTGAAACTTATGGGGGCTCGTTTCACAATTTCAATTTCAATTCAAAATGAAAAACCGACCGAGGCGATTAGGCTCACAGAAACTCAGATTTCCATTAAGTTCCTCGAGAACAATACAAGAACAGTAAAAGATTTCCATTGAAGAAGATCCAATTCACCCATCGACGACGGAGATGCTTACACTACTACAAAGTACAGTTTCTGCGGAGAAATTCAACCAAACGGAAGAAATTTGAAGTTCGGAGCGCGAAACGGGGAAAGTCGGATTCGAATTTGAGTTGATGAAAATCACAAATCGGCAAAGTTGCATACCTCTTCGCAGCGGAACTTGAACCCTGGAAGAAATTGTGTTTAGGCGCGATTGTTGAAGAAGAAACGACGACGATACATATACACATATATGTGTGTGTATACCTCTATATGCTGTGAGCGGGAGGGAGAAGATACGGAAAATAGAGAAGATGGCGGAGCAAAGCAGAAATTCTCAGGGGAGGGCAACCTCTTTAATCTAATGTTGATTATGATAAATATCTTTTTATACCGATATTTTAATATTATATTATTAATACTGTAATGTAATATGGTCTGATTCAAATTCTTTCGTATACTTTTTATTTTATTAATATCCTGTGAAGTTTAATAATTTGGGTGTAGAAAAAAATATATTAAAACCAAATATAACGTTTGTAGGAACAAAAAATCTGTAGAATTTTTACGAGAAAAGAAATACACAGTAAATATGCTGGAGTCTGCAGTTTCGACCATAAAACAATAGTTTTTTTTTACGATGAAAAACCCTATCCTACAACCTTCGGGTCAGACATTGGATATCGCAACACCTCTTAACCCATAGACCGGACGAGAACGGCATCAGTGTTTTTTATTTCTTTCTAATTTGTTGTTCTTTTCATAAAAATGATGATCGATAATGAAAATGAAGATGATGATGATATACCGATCCAGTGGTAATATTACAAGATCCGGTATATTTCAATAATCGGGATAGCATCACGGACCTGAGAAAATTCACCGTCCTACGCAGTACCCGACAAACCATGCAGAACAGGTAAACTAGTTAGTACAATAGATTTTTCTTCTTTGACAACATTTTTTTAAATTAATGGAAATCTAACACATAATAGTTGTTCCGATTTATAAAAATACCAAAAGTAATATATTTTAAAAAAACATTATAATATTTTTAAAACAGATTTATTTATTATTTGTTTGTTCTTTTGAGGTATTTTTTACGCGAAAGAAAAACTCAAAATTGCTACGCACATGGAAAGATGCCAGCATTATCTGTGTCAACCTGTCAAAATTATTAAATTCGTATCTGTTATTTAAAATAAACTGAATTTATATTTACATTTCATATGTGATCTGATAATAAATTAATAATAATAATAATAATAAACATTACTTTAAACTCCTTAATCAATATAGAGGCTCATAGTAAGCCCAAATGAAATTCGTAATCGGCCTAGTAAAAGCCAATATGGATCCTAAACTATGCTCATTTATTAGCCCATTATTTCAATTTCCATTTTTTATATGGGCTTTATGCAATATGGATCCTAAGGAGACGTAGGCCTTTGGGCCTAACTAAAGGACCATCAATGGCCCATCGCTTGTAAGTGGAATTTCTATTATCCCAATAAAAAAAATTAATATTCTAATAACTAATAAAATGAAGAACAATTATAAAATTAAGATCTCATTATTTTTTCTTGGGCATATCTTTAAAAAAAAATATGTACTATTCTCGTGTCAATGAAAACACTCTTTTACTTATCAATTAAATCTTATATTTGGTGTGAGTAACCCATAAAACCCTGAATTTTCTAAAAATTTGCCCAAAGCTCTCTACATCTGTCAAGTCAAACAAAAATGATGATATGGTAATGACATGGCTTCCAAATCATGCATACATCATCATAATTATTTCACATCATTATTTCAAACAAAATTTAAATTAAATAATTTATTTAAATTAATATATACATACAAATTCACACATATATATATTAAATATAAAATTATTTATAACTATTAAAACACATGTATACATATCTACAATATATATTATAAATTATATTCTAAATAATATATATACATATTATTTTTTAATGTGTATTGTATATATATACATATTAGTTGTATATGCATATGTTGTATGTATAACTAATATGTATACATATACATATTATTTTTAATATTATATATATATATATATATTAGTTTTAATTATTTTTATTTTAATATATATATATATTAGTTATAATATACATATATGTTGTAGTTATGGGTATATGTATTTTATTAATTACAAATAATATTATTTTTAATATATATATATATATATATGTTAATATATATATATATATATATATATATATATATATCATATAGCTTCTATTTCTATACAATGAGACGCTACATATTGTCGTATTATGATCTTCTTTGGAGTAAAGTAAATACTGCTTAGGGACCCACATCTGGCCGGAGCTTACAGTGGCGCGTGGGATATACTCGCCGGGAATGACGGTTGTATTTTATTAATTACAAATAATATTATTTTTAATATATATATATATATATATGTATGTATATATATATAAATTTATATATATATATTAATTTAAATAAATTATTTAATTTAAATTTGGTTTGAAATGATGATGTGAAATAATTATGATGACGTGTGCATAACTTGGAAACTATGTTATTGTCATATCAACATTTGAGTTGGTAGACGCGGAGGATTTTCTGTGAATTTTTAAAAAATTTAAAGTTTTATGGGTTAATCATACTAAATATAATATTTAATTAGTAAGCAAAAAAGTACAAAATTTTTTCGTTGAAATGAGAAAAATATAGAGTTTTTTCCTTTTTTTCTTCTCTTACTTATGTCGTGCCCCATTTTTTTCAAGTTGGAGTTTCACTTCAAACCCACATCAACATATATATTATGTCCATATGCTATATATATATATATATATATATATGCGTGTATGCAAAAAAAAATATATATCACACGATGTGAAGCTGCATGTGTTAAATTAAAGAAACATTTTCTTTATGGACCGTCTTAGTTGCCAAATTTGATGGGGATATAAATAAAAGGGCTTTTCTTTTAAAAAAGGACAGTGCATAAAATAACAGCGAACACATTCCCTTTTCGGCACAGAGATTGACTCATATTTGTGTACTTGCACATGGACTCAATTATATTGATACCAAAACATAATTATTTATCAACAATATATTTATCGATCATTTTGATAAATGTTAACGTGTAAATATTTTACCCTATGTTATATGTAACCCTCTGTATTTTAATAACGAATATTATTTTAAATTTGTGATCAACTTTATTGAAGTCTTGGAAGAATTAAATATTATAAAACAACACCTTAATCCCAAAGTAAATATTATAAAAATACAAAATAAAAATCGGAATATTAACCATTTGATCTAAAAATTTCTCACTCCACATCATGGGCTGCAATTCCCCATGTAAACAACCCCTTCTCGATTTGAAGAACATTGCTCTCTTTCAAAATTGAGTTTATATAAATATATTTACCTATATGTGTATATTTTTCCAGCAAAATTTAAAGCTATAGTGGAAGAAAATAGAGAGATCAACCTTTGTTAATTTAAACTATATAATATATCCAATGATAAACGATAAATGATATATGACTCACTTAAATATAAAATTATTTTTATTTACAATAAATACAGTGTATGATATTTTATTTAGTAATGTGATTTAATTTAGCGTTTTGAAGTTGATGTTAACATATTCCTAAATTTCTATTGTTGGATGTTCTAATACAAATTGGATTTTGAGAACAATTAAAAAAATAGAGAAGATGGGTCGATTCAAGTGGGACCCATTATATGGGGGGCCATTTTCAGCCGTCCATACTTTTTGATCAACTTTTTATCTGGCCAACCTTTACAGAGGAATACGAGTGTCTAAACAAATTGTGAATAGAAAAAAAAAACAGTATTAAAAAAAAATTACATACTAAAAATTCTATATTATAAAATTGGAATAAAAATAAATTTCGTAAATACATTTATTTTTCGTATATTTCTGAAATTTTCCTCTAATTATTTAAAGTCTCAAACGTTTATCTTCGCGGGAACAATCTTGAAACTTAGGTGTCTTGACGGTTGGTTTTCACATTTATTTCAAATCTGATTTATAATAATGACTGCGTATAAATTTGGACGTGTGAATTACCGTAAATTCATATTTAATATTACATTTATTTTTCTTTTCCACCAACTTAATCACTCCCATCAATTCACGTATACATCAGCGTTACAATAAATGTAGTTTATATCCATAGACCACATTAGAGATACATCAGCGTTACAATTTGTAACCATGTTTTGTATCTATTTTCAAATTATATTTTTCCACTTTATTATCGTTATATCATATCTTTGTATGGAACGATCGGGGCGATTCTATCATATGATAAAATAATTGAAATCTTTATCATACTGATCGTTAAAATAATCAGAAATTACATGATATTAATCCAAACAATTTTTTTACATATTTAAAACGATAATTTTTACAAATTCATACCGGGGTTGTAGATTCAAATAATTTGATCATATAATCGATTGTTTTTTTTCGGTCATTTATACAAATAATTCAAATCAAACGTTATAAAAAAGAGACGATCAGAACGATGACTAAGATCACACGTGGCAATATCAAATGGCTTGCATGTGGGCCCACTCACAGGGCGAATCCTACCTGGAACACACTCACGTCGGACCCACTTAGGGTACAACGAATCGCCAATAACACGTCAGCATCGGTCCGAGCATAGGTCCCACGTCATTATCTCACCTTGTTGTGTTCGGTCCCACATGTCACCGGCCAATACCTGTCGCTGCTCTCTTTTCCTGTCCACGTAGGATTGATTTAACAGCGAAAGTTTGGGGGAAAAAAAAGAAAAAAAAAAGAAACCTTAAAATTCGCTAGAATATTTCCTTTTGGTTTCTCGAAATTATTTTTTTTGACCCTAATAGTGAAAATTGCATTCTCTTTTCCGGACAAATAATATGAACACTCACCTTAAACTTAGAACATAATTCAGAAAGTAATTGAAATTGTAAAAGAATAATAATTGTGCATAATTTTTTATAAAATTTTTATTTATTAATATTTATTTTAAATATTAATTTTAAAAAATTTAACAACAAAGATGAGAACTTTGCTTTAAAAAAAACATGATTTGATATACATAAGAAGGTGGTTTTCTTGTATTTATGGAGTATTTTGGACAGATATTTTCTTGTATTTTATGGTTTGCCCATGTTCTCAGATTTGCCCAAAATAAAATAAAATCATGCATGCATGCATGCATGATGTACTCCTTGTTACAAAAGTCTGTACATTCCATGTGACTTCTTGTCTAAAATCTAAAGTGAATAATTAGAGGAAATATGATGGGTCTTACATTAACCAAAATGCAAAAATCCAAACGCTAAAGTTGAAAATACCATGCAATTTTGTTATTGTTGTCATTCGTGAACTTTGTATAAATACGTATATGCATGGGAAAATGTTATGAAATGCCACAGGGAATGAATCGTACCATACTGATATTTTCAAACATTGATAATATATTCTAAAGATTCGTATATATATATATGTGTAATAATTTAATTAACAACAAGACATATGGTAAATCAGTGATGTCCCATAAGTCAGTGGCATGAGGTGTCAAATTGTACATACAAATATTATTATTTTTTTTAAAGATTCTTTTAGGTGCAATATTCATAATGATGTACTCTTTCAAGATAACAATTATAATTGTATTTGATTTTTCAATTTTTTTTATAAAAAAAAGCATATGACGATGCATTTGCTGCTCCTATAAATAACCACTCTCATCGATCATATCTCTTCACTCACCATCAAAGCAAACGTCTCTTCCCTTATTCTAATATATATACCATTTCCTCTTTTTTGCTTAATCTCCTCTCCAAATGGCCACCGTCGAGGTACTAATCTTGTTCCTAATCTATTTCTTAATCCCGTTTAACGTATGATTAACTGTCTAATCCTGCATATAAACGATCGGAATATTAGATATCAATCCTACGTCTTCCGTTGCCTTGATCGTCCACCCCTAGCACACCCAGCAAGGGATCTAAACATCAGTCCGTTCCATTCAATTCTAGATTACCTACTTGCCGTCCTGTATCGCAGGAAACGGCAAGGTGTTTTGTTTTCTACAGTTTTATCGATCAAAGCATGATCATGTGTTCTTTTATTCCAGGTTGAGCAAGTGACCGAGGTGACGCAAAAGGTCGAGGAGACTCCGGCGCCGGCGGAGCCGGAGGTGACCCAGAAGGCGGAGCCGGAGGCCGAAGCTCCGGTTGAGACAGCTCCAGAAGCTCCGGTTGAGACAGCGCCGGAAGCTCCAGCGGCCGAGGCGGAGGCGGAGGCCGAAGCTCCAGTGGAAGAAACAACGAAAGAAGTCGTCGTGGAAGAGGCCAAGGAAACAGAGAAACCAGCTGAAGAAACGGAGGAGGTGGAGGCTAAAGAAGAAGAAGAGGAGAAAAAGACGGAGGAGACGGCTCCGGTGACGGAGGAGGTAGTTCCGGAGAAGGAGGAAGAGAAGAAGCCGGAGGCGGAGGAGGAGAAGCCGGCGGAAGAACCCGCCGTAGCCGCTGGCGCCGCCGCGGAGAAGGCGGA